TGTTACACAGCTCGTTCTCGTACTTGGGCTACTGTTACGTACCTCGTGCCTGGACGCCCTCGCGAGGGCGGTCGTAGCAATGATAATGATGTCGTCGGATCGAGGCTGTATCCCATGGCGGACGTTGGACTTAATGATTTGTTTTTGGGCCGCGTCTGTTCGCGCCCGTGTTCTCTATGCGTCTGTGGTCTCGGCATATTTGTCGGTAGGTCTCACGAAGGTGCCAAGGTGGGTAGGTCTCGTAGCCCTTAGATATGTTGAAGGTGTCCGCCTTGTAATTCAACAATTGGTGGTTGATCACTTTTGTGCCATGGCGTCGTTCCCTGGCCGCGGCCGCGGTTGGGGGGCTGAGGCCGGCCCGCTGGGCGCGCAGCGCGCGCGCGCGGGCGAGTGCGAGGGATTGATGGCCCTCCTCCTCCTCCTCCTCCTCCTCCTCCTCCTGCTCCTCCCCCCCTCCTCCTCCTCCTCCTCCTCCTCCTCCTCCTCCTCCTCCTCCTCCTCCTCCCTCCTCCTCCTTCCTCCTGCCCTCCTCTCCTCCTCCTCCTCCTCCTCCTCCTCCTCCTCCTCCTCCTCCTCCTCCTCTCTCTCCTCCTCCTTCCTCCTCCTCCTCCTCATCCTCCTCCTCCTCCTCCTCCTCCTCCTCCTTTCTCTCCATGCTGGCAATCCACCGCTCCTGCCCCCCACCCCCTTCTGCAAAGGAGGCGCCGTGGCTATCCGCCCAGAGCCTCGCAGGCCGCGGGGGGGGAGCTGTCGCCAAAGCGCCTCGCCAGCCGTGGCTCGACGCCTCCGGCCGCCGCCGCCGGCCGTCGCCGCTTCCGCGGCCTCCGACGGGCGCCGACGTCGTCGCCGCCGCCCTCCCTTATGGGTCGTTTTAACACTCATTGGGCTGAAAGGTTCTGAGGGGACCTCTGGGAGCCTCCCTGGACTTCTGGCGACTCCCGACGAGCCGTCGTCGTCATCGTCGCTCGTCGTCGTCGTCGTCGTCGTCGTCGTCGTCGTCGTCGTCATTAAGGTTGGTCTAGGGCACTGTCCCTCCCAGGCAGCATTTTTGGCCACGCTGAGCTCCAAACATGAATTCATTGGCCTCAGATGGGTTACGTGGTGGATCCCAACCACGTCAATCCCAACCGAATATATTAAAGCATATTATGCCAAAGCGGACTTGCTGGGGCACGGTTAGAGTGAAACAGAGTTTCATTCATGTTATCTTCATCGTCATCAGGGTCTCCGGTGTTCTATTTGGAGTCACTGCTTGAATCTGGCTTCTGATAAAGAGGGCTAGGCATCATGGGCACCTCAATTGTTCCACTTTTTGTGCACGTTGTATTGCCATCGGCGCTTCCAGACGCAGCGTTCGGAGGACCCCTGCCTTCCGCCTACGCACATGGGCAGTGAGGCGCCTCCACCGGTCCACAGCCCAGGGCTCCCGTCCAGGTTCGGCGCAGGTGGAGAAGTGGCGCCTTTCCTCGCAGGTCTCTGGGGCGTGGGCAGGGTCAGGCGATCCGGGCCGCCCTGGAGTGCTTTTCGACGAGGCGCAAACGCTGGGAGTCGTCCCTGGGCTCGAGGACACCCCGAACACATCCGAGAGCATCCTCCGAAATCGGAATGGCATCGGATGCACGCGCAGAGCCCGGAGGAGGAGGAGGAGGAGGAGGAGGAGGAGGAGGAGGAGGAGGAGGAGGAGGAGGAGGAGGAGGAGGAGACACTCGGCTTCTCCATTTTTCCCAACCATCCTGTGGTGTTGGGTCGTCGTTTTGAAGAGACGGTCCCCGCGTTCCTTTCCTCTTCTCCTCTTCCTCCCCCTCCTCCTCTCCACAACCCGCATGCGTCCCCCATGCCCATTTCGGCACATCCCTCACACGTTTCGTGGCCCCATAGGGAGCTCCACTGAAGCCCCCAGTGCCACCGCCCGCATGCGTCCCCCACACCCAATTCGGCATTTTCACCCACCCAGTGCAGCGCTCCGTGGCCCCATAGGGAGCCCCACCGAAGCCCCCAGTGGGACCGCCCGCATGTGTCCCCCACGCCCAATTTGGCATTTTCACCAAACCAGTACAGCGTTCCGTGGCCCCATAGGGAGCTCCACCGAAGCCCCCAGTGGTACCGCCCACGTGCGTCCCCCACATGCACTTTGCATTTCACCCGCCTAGTACAGCGTTTCGTCGCCCAAAAGGGTCGTGGCCCAAAAGGGAGCCCCACCGAAGCCCCAAGTGGGACCGCCCGCACGCGTCCCCCACCCAGCACAGCGTCTCGTGGCCCCATAGGGAGCTCCATAGAAGCCCCCAGTGGGACCGCCCGCATGCGTCCCCCACACCCAATTTGGCAGAGCCCCACCGAAGCCCCCAGTGGGGCCGCCCGCATGCGTGCCCCACGCCCAATTTGGCATTTCCACCCACCCAGTACAGCGCTTCGTGACCCCATAAGGAGCTCCACCGAAGCCCCCAGTGGTACCGCCCACATGCGTCCCCCACATCCAATTTTGCATTTTTGCCCACCCAGTACGGCGTCTCGTGGCCCCATAGGGAGCTCCATAGAAGCCCCCAGTGGGACCGCCCGCATGCGTCCCCCACACCCAACTTGGCATTGTCACCCACCCAGTACAGCGCTCCGTGGCCCCATAGGGAGCCCCACCGAAGCCCCCAGTGGGACCGCCCGCATGTGTCCCCCACACTCGATTTGGCATTTTCACCCACCCAGTACAGCGCTCCGTGGCCCCATAGGGAGCTCCACCGAAGTCCCCAATATGACCGCCCGCGTGCGTCCACCATGCCCAATTTGGCATTTCCACCCGCCCAATGGCTTCGCAGTCCCATAGGGAGCTCCACCGAGCCCCCCCGTGGGACCGCCCGCATGCGTCCCCCACACATGGAGCTCCATCGAAGCCTCCAGTGGGACCGCCCGCATGCGTCCCCCACACACCCAATGTGGCATTTTACCCAGTACAGCGCTTCGTGGCCCCCGCCCGCGTGCGTCCCCCACACTCAATTTGGCATTTCCACCCACCCTTTACAACGCTTCGCGGCCCCATGGAGAGCTCCACCGAAGCCCCCAGTGGGACCGCCCGCATGCGTCCCACACGCCAAATTTGGTATTTTCACCCGCCCAGTGCAGCGTTTCGTTGCCTCATAGGGAGCTTCACCGACGGCCCCAGTGCTCCGCCCGCATGCGTTCCCCCCGCCCAGCGCAGCGCTTCGTGGCCCCATAGGGAGCTTCACCGAAGAAGATATTCACAATTGCGGTACCCACAAATTCATATGGTTGGGTCCTTCGCCAGGATAATTTCGAGGCTCTGCCCCCCTCCCCTTGGACGTCTCCTCGATCACCCGTGCGAGGCTTCGTGGGCGACAGATGTAATCCGCATCCGCGGCCTTGCGGGCCGGGCCCCTGGGCCGCGACCCCGCGGGCCCCTGGGCTGATGCCCAGCGCGGAACGCATCCGTGCGGCCTCGAGTTCACGGGGTCGCGCCGCGAGGGCGCGGGATCGCCGCTCGTGAGGGCTGGCGCGCTGTCCTGAGCTCGTTCTCGGCGGTCGGGGGCGCCCGAGAGAGTGGCTTCCCAGGGGCCCCAGAAGTGGCGAGACGCTGGCCGCTCTGATCTTCCATGGCCCAGCGTCGGGGACAGAGAGCATCAGCGGCACGCCGCTGTCGGGAGCCCGCCCGCGTGTCGCCCCTTCGTGCTTGTCCGGGGACCTTGTGTCGGGGGCGGCAAAGAGGGGGATGATGACTAGGGTGGTGGTGGATATCATGGCGTGGGCCATGATATTTCCTCAGATTTCATGGCGCCGTTTCTAATTTCATTACGTTCGGCCGCGCACATGCCGCCTGCCATGATTTGCGCCCCCCCCCTCTTGGACGCCCCCCTCTTGGCCGCCCCCGATTTGTGTGCTTCTGAAACTCGGGCGGCGGGCGAGGGGGGGAAACGAGAAGGAGAAGGCCTTCTCAGGAGTTGGCTGGACTGCTCAGACGCCCTCGCGCCTCCCGAGAAGTGCGCTCCGCGCCTCCGGGGAGGGCTCCGAAGACTTCTCGGAAGGCTGGGGGACTTCGAGCGCTTTCCGACAAGACCTTCTCCTATCAGGCGATCGCAAACATGGATCAAGGGGGCGTGGATTGGCGACGGGTCCCGCTTCCATGGGTAATCGCGGATTTCCGCCGCCGAGCGAGGCGGCACCGGCCGCATTTTGTGGAGGGCACCTCCCCCAGTCCATGGATGTGGCGACCGCGCGCCAAATCCATGGATCGCTAATCCATGTTTGCGCGCCCCCGATCCTTCTCGCTTCCCCCCTGGGCTCGCCGCCGAAAGAAGCGGTGTCGCGCCGTCGGGTTCCCGCAGCGGCGCATCGCCGACGCGCGCGCGCGCGGCTCGGCGGCGGGCGCTCTCTGGCCACACCGCTGGATAGCGTTACGTCGGGCCTGTCCCCCTACAGGAGGAATATTCAATTAGCCTGGCGAAGGACCCAACCATATGCAGTTGTGAGTACTGCAATTGTGAATATCTTCTTCAGTGGCGTTCCCGATGGGGTCACGAAAGGCTGTGCTGGGTGGGTGAAACGCAGGGAGCAAGTGCCGTGCCGGGTGGTGGCGGACGCATGCGGGCGGTGCCACTGGGACCTTGGGTGGAGCTCCCTATGGGGCCACGAAGCGCTTTACTGGGTGGGTGAAACGCAGGGAGCAAAGGCTGTGCTGGGTGGTGGCGGACGCATGCGGGCGGTGCCAGTGGAACGTTCGGTGGAGCCCCCTATGGGGCCACGAAACGTTGTAATGGGTGGGCGAAACGCAATGAGCAAGGGCTGTGCTGGGTGGTGGCGGACGCATGCGGGCGGTGCCATTGGGACCTTCGGTAGAGCCCCCTATGGGGCCACGAAGCGCTGTAGTGGGTGGGTGAAACGCAGGGAGCAAGGGCTGTGCTGGGTGGTGGCGGACGCATGCGGGCGGTGCCAGTGGGACGTTCGGTGGAGCCCCGTATTGGGCCACGGAACGTTGTACTGTGTGGGTGAAACGCAGGGAGTAAGGGCTGTGCTGGGTGGTGGCGGACGCATGCGGGCGGTGCCACTGGGACTTCCGGTGGAGCTCCCTATGGGGCCACGAAACGCTGTATTGGGTCGGTGAAACGCAAAGAGCAAGGGCCATGGTGGGTGGTGGCGGACGCATGCGGGCGGTGCAACTGGGACCTTCGGTAGAACCCCCTATGGGGCCACGAAACGTTGTATTGGGTCGGTTAAACGCAAAGAGCAAGGGCTGTGCTGGGTGGTGGCGGACGCATGCGGGCGGTGCCACTGGGACCTTCGGTGGAGCTCCCTATGGGGCCACGAAGCGCTGTACTGGGTGGGCGAAACGCAGTGAGCAAGGGCTGCGCTGGGTGGTGGCGGACGCATGCTGCCGTGCCACTGGGACGTTCGGTGGAGCCCCCTATAGGGCCACGAAACGCTTTACGGGGTGGGTGAAACGCAGGGAGCAAGGGCTGTGCTGGGTGGTGGCGGACGCATGCAGGCGGTACCACTGGGACCTTCGGTGGAGCCCCCTATGGGGCCACGAAGCGTTGTACTGGGTGGGTGAAACGCAGGGAGCAAGGGCTGTGCTGGGTGATGGCGGGCGCACGTGGGCGGTGCCAGTGGGACCTTGGGTGGAGCCCCCTATGGGGCCACGAAGCGCTGTACTGGGTGGGTGAAACGCATGGAAGAGGGAGGAAGGAGGAGGAGGGGGAAACGCGGGGGCCGTCTTTTTAAAACGAGGACAG